CTTGATCTTGTTCTGGTTGACTTCTCCCATTGCGAAGTCAATAGGGCAGCTGCACCTCTTAGTAGAATTGATCTGCTTCATCCGCCATTGGAAATCGTTATTTCTACCGGAATATCTAAAACACTAAATAATAACACAAATAATATAAGATATAATTTCCACAGAGCGGATTACGAATCTATCAATGGATATCTTCAGAGTATTGATTGGAATGAAAAGTTTGAAAATCTTGGCTCTGTTAATGATTTAGTGGCTATTTTTTACAATATAATTGAGGATGTCCTGATTCGTTTTGTGCCGAAATACAAACATAAGAAAAACACGTATCCGTGTTGGTTTAGCAATAGTTTAATAAATCGCTATAAAGAAAAGTACAAACTTTTAAAAAAATACAAAAAATACAAAAATCCAAGGGATAAAATAGAACTAGATATTATAAGTAAGAGATGTAAAAAAATGACCACAGACTGTTACAAAACTTTTTTAAATAATAGTGAAAAAAAGATACAACAAGATCCGAAACAGTTTTGGTCATTTATTAAAAGTAAACGGAATAAAGGTAGTTCATTTCCAGCCGAAGTTTCAATGGCGTTGATTCCAGTACAGATGGATTTGAGATTTGTGAAATGTTCTCTAATTACTTTGCGTCTATTTATGGGTCAGATACTCAAACACTGTTGGATAATAATTATGTGGCAAGGTACTTATTGCCATCAAGCTTAGGCTATGGACTTACGAATGTTCAATTTTCTAAAGATGAAGTTTTGGCTAGGTTGAAGACATTGGATGTCAATAAGGGTGCAGGTTCTGATGGAATTCCACCTCTATTCATAAGGGCATGTGCAGAGAATTTGGCTATTCCAATACATCTCATATTTAACTTATCACTAAAAACTGGTATATTTCCCTCACAATGGAAATTAGCAAAGGTAATCCATATTTATAAATGCGATGACGAAGCTTTGGTGTCCAGTTACCGACCTATTTCCCTACTCTGTACAATTGCAAAGGTTTTCGAATCCTTGATATGTCCATTGATTCAAAATTTCATAAAACCATTAATCACGGACTTTCAGCATGGTTTTATCAAGGCTAGATCAGTGAATACAAATTTAGTAACATTTGCTGATTTTATTACTGAAGCTGTAGATACTAACTTGCAAGTTGACGCTATTTATACAGACTTTAGCAAAGCTTTTGATTCAGTACCCCATAATATTCTGCTGCAAAAACTATCTTTATATGGTTTTGCAGATCCTTTGCTATCATGGCTGAGATCGTACCTAACCAGTCGATCATTTTACGTTGTTATTAATGGATTTAAATCGCTCAATAAAATGATTACATCAGGTATCCCTCAAGGCTCTAATATTGGTCCGATTCTCTTCAACATATTTATAAATGATGTTGTTTCGGGTTTTGAGTCGTCCTTAGCATATTTGTTTGCAGATGATTTGAAACTTGCAAGAATTATAAGATCTGTCTATGATTGTGTGCTTTTGCAACGCGATCTGGATAGACTAATTATGTGGTGTGAATATAATGGCATGTCTCTGAATTTTAGGAAATGTCTTCATATAAAATTCACTAGAAAACACAATAAAATTGCCTTTGATTATCACATCTATGGTGAAACTTTAAGTGAAGTGAGCACTATAAGAGATCTGGGTATACTTCTAGACAGTAAATTAACATATTTACCTCAAATAGAGTTTGTAATAGCAAAGGCATCAAGAGCTTTAGGTTTTGTAATTCGCAATGCCAAGGAATTTGTAAATCCAAAAACTAAAATAAAATTATATTATTCATTAGTTCGAAGCGTCTTGGAATATGGTTCGATAGTTTGGCGACCACATTATTCGACCCATATTTTAAGATTAGAGCGTATACAAAAAAGGTTTCTCTGGCATTTGGCTTTTTCAGCTCGACAATCTAAGACCTTGGTGGCCTACGGGGACAGACTTATCTATTTCAATATGGTATCACTTGATAAGCGTAGAACATTAATAGATTTAATGTTCTTATATAAGTTGTTTAGGAACAGAATTGACTGTTCTCAGCTTCTTGCCAAATTTAATTTTCGATTGCCCGTACACTATCCCCGTAGTTACATCAGTCTAATGTCCGTGCCGTTCCGTAGAACTGTTCTTGGTGCCAACTCCACTGTACCACGTCTTTGCAAGCTGTTGAATGATTGCAAGCAACACTTGGATATTCACTTCGATACAGAAGGGGATTTCTATAGGAAAGCATTACAGTTAATTTAAATAGCTAAAAAACTTATGTGAAGCATGTGAAGAAGAAGACTTATGTGAATATTATTGTTTTTGTTAATTAGCATGCTGTGTTTCCTTTAAAATGATTGTACACTAAGTATAAATAGACGGTAATTTAAATATTAAATCTTATCAGTGTAACAATTACTAGGAGACCAAATAAAGATAAAATAAAATAAAAATAAAAACTCATGGTGTCCCGGCCGTATCCAATTGCGAAAAGGGTCATAATATACCTCTATAGGGATGCACATCTCCATTAGCCCTTTACATTTCTACTCATGTCCGCTAACCCCAGTAGAGTTTTTTGCCCTCACTTCTGGTTTCCCGACGTCCATATCAAATAACGAGGACGGGACACCTTGCTATTATGTTTCAAACTCAACAGAATGTTATTAATCAGATTTGAATTTTTAATAATTAGATCTTATAATAAATGTTTTTTTGAACCACAGTGCTTTTTTACTTTTATAATTATTTGATTTACATAAGCAATATTCTAGTAAAGTGGTTTGTATATTTCAGTCAGATACTATATATTTTAAATCTCTGTTTGTATTTTTGTTAACTTACTATTATGTTCAAAATATGACTAACATAAATCGGACATTAGAAAAAAAAATCGTCTTTCAAAGGTGATTCTTAAAATATAGAAAGAAATATCTAACTAGAGTTCAATAAATACAAAATTTTAATATTCTTGAGACTATTAAAAGTTTGTGTGTGTATGAGTGTTTATGTGTGTATATGTAACAAATTTATGTGTGTATATGTAACAAATTTTGATAGTCTATCTATTTAAAGAAATGATGTCGTGGCTAATCAATTTACTTTGTAGTAACTACGTAGTAGTACCTATTGCCATTTTACTAATATAAAACAATTTTAACTATACGATGTATGTACGTGGGAAATATTTAAGAAAAAATAATATGAGGGGTCTTAATAAGACTGATACACATCAAAACATATCAACAAACGTATCTGTAGAAATTTTGTTTTTATTTATTTATACAACTTAGAATGGCACCTGATGGAAAGTGGTAACCGTCGCCTATATACATGAGCAGTACTACGGCCATAACGGAGTATACTGTTTCGCCCATGATATCCCCCATGCGTTGCCATTCCTGAGGACTCAGGTGTTATTCCTCTGTACCCTGTAAATTCACGCCATACCCTTCAAACCGAAACACAGCTGTACATGCAAACACAACTGCTTTACGGTTGAAACACGAATGGGACAGAGGTACCCAAGCAATCGACTTTTGTACAAAATCTCCCTCTGGTCTGTTTGTCTGTGTGTATGTTTAGTTCGACATCACGCATATACCACAGCACCAAATTAGATGCGGTTTTCTAAATCGTATTCTTGAATTTGGTTACAAATAATCTCATATACAGTCTAGGAAAAGCGAAAAATACCAAAAGGGAGATAAACATAAACCTCTAAATAAAATTACTCGTATTATCACGACGCGAAGCTCAGCGGCATTAGCGCCTTAGGATTTATTATTCACTTTGTCAATTTTAAAACTTGAAATTACTCTACAACGCGCTCGCTCTCGCTTTATCGTTTTCTTTGACGTTACTTGTCCTTTTTTTTGTAGTGCCTGTTTAAATAGACTTTGCAGCGCTAGTGAAAACATTATTTATTCCAGATAGAGTAAATTTATAGCGTAAATTCTATTAGAACATCATTAGTCATGCCTTAAAATGTTAATATTGAAACTCTTAAAAGCATGCAAGAAATAGTAAGAGAAACTATCATTTGCAATTAATATAAATTTTAATCGAAAATTATATTTTTGTGTTGTTTTTTATATTTGAGCCAAAATCAAATGAAATTATAAATTATGAAAATCGTTACAAGCAAAGTCACGATTTTCATAATCGGTAGAAGCAAAGTTTTAATAGATAATTTGCCGTGTGGTCCCAGCATAGAATGGGTCAACGCTTCCTTTTTCGTGAATGTCATAATAGACGAATAAGGGAATTTAATGGTCGAGGCATGGGCAGCAGGGTCTCTCTTTAAACTTCACTAAAACCTGCTCGGTTGCTAACTCGCTTGCAAGACATGGCAACTACTGGCAAGCAATTATATATACAAGCAAAGCAATAAATACAAGCAAGGCGACGGTTACCATTTTCCATCAGGTGGGCCGTCAGCTTTTTTGTCATTCTAAGTTGTATAAAAAAAAAATATGGGGAAGACCTTATTTCCGCAGTGGACAGTTAACGGTAGACATGGTGGTGAATTGTCTAAATAAGTAATATTCTAGTTGTAGACAGTCGTCTAAGTAAATAAGATGTATTCTAATTGCAGTATAAGCATTTATTTAAGTATTTTTTTTTATTTATTATTTTTTTTATTATCGTACTATAATAAAAAAAAAATACTAAAACACGTGACTACACCATCCTGAGCGAACACAGAGACAACATGACCCATGAATGCGATTAGTCGAAAAGAAAATGTTCTGCTCTCAACGGTTGGCCGCACTATGCCGGCTCACTAAAGCTTTTTCACGCTACATTTGAAGGATCCTAGGCGTACCTCGTATGTACTCTTTTACTATTTGTACTTTGTACTTTGTACTCGCATTTCATAAAGTACGAGTACAAAGAAAACACGTCACGAGAAAGGCCATTTCATAAAGTAATTTAATTTTTAAGTTCTAATTCGAATACAATTTCAGTGTATAAAAATTTTATTTAGGTATATTACTTACTTGTAGCGCTTACTTCTGGACCGAGAGATTCGAAGGCTTTTCCAAAACTGAGCTTCAAGAGGCGGTCAGAATCTAAAACAATAAAAACATTTAGCAAATTAGTAAATGAATAAAATATTAGTATAGTATTATTAACTGCTCTCTTTTACTGTTAAATATTAAATATTTTACTTTATGAAAGAAATAAATAATTTTTACTGTTACTTTATTTAATTCAAACATTTTTGAATAGACATTTTTTATGATTTTTCTGCCCATAAAACATCTACAACAATAGTTTTATTTATATGAGATTTGTTTAATTCTTTGTATCTCAGAAGTAGTACAAAGATAAGCCAGGATTCATGAGAAACATAAATTGGTTCTTATTATTTTTATCTCTGTAAGTAAATACATAAAAAAATATCAAAGAATGTATGTAAGTATTTAAACCTAAGAAATATTTTTCGATAAAAGTGAACGAAATATGAAAGACGAATGTTACAAAATGCACTAGTGGCGCCATCTCTTGAAGTATACTTATAATAATAGGAGAGGGTGGGATGGGCTCCAAACGCAAATATGTGCTTACTTGCTGAAAGATTCATTCTTTATTCACTTAGTTTACTATACTTCTAACAGATGGCGTTAAGCACGCAAATGAAAAATAAACTGCTTCGTACCTCGGTGCATAAAAGTTAACGAAAGTATAATTACTTTATTTTATACAAATTAATATTTAAGATCAGAAATTATTGAAGTTCTTTTAAATTAAAACAATACAACAAATTCTACCAATTTCAAATACCTTCTACATTCATAAAGATACGTACATAGTTAAATACTAAGTAGGTATACCCAAAGTAGAGTGTATCTGGATTGCAGCCAAAATTCCTATTCATACCTTGTTGGCCGTAGTTGCAAATTAAACTAGATCGCTTGCAATTACTCTAAGGTGCTTTTACTACGGATAGAGGAAATACATATATTGTGGAGATCTGTATATTTGGCTTTTTTTTAATAATTTTTATTATAATACTTATTTTATTGGAGGCAGATATTATTGGTATATCCGTCGATCATTACTAAGATAGTTTACGTACTATTTAAGTAACTTTTTTTTGGATTTTTTTATGTACTCACCATAATTTTTTTGTGAAAGTTTTTATATCTGTATCTTAGTATAAGTTATACTATTCGAGGTAAGGGTCTTGATGACTTGTTATACAGGTTTAATAGGTATTAAACTTGTATTATAAATTTAACTAGTACAGTACTGTAGTACAGGCACCAGTTCCCACAAATAATATTGTTAAAATGTTCTGCATTTTCACCTATAGGTGGTGAGTTCCTTAATTGTCTGTAGTGAAAAATAAATAAAAATAATATAAAAATATAAAATAAAAAAAATAGTTTTATTGAAAGAGCTAAACTTAGTGAAACACTTTTATTAAAAACTACTAACCGGCTGCCGTGGAATCTGGCGGTGGTTGAAAATGAAATGTGGCGGCGAAACCTTGTCCTGGGGTGGCTGAGTTTGCTGTGAACTGTAGAAGTAATGCAGGACCTGTTGATAGCACCTCGTATCCTGGAATCAAATAATATTTTTTAGAAATTCAAGGTTTCTAAAAGACGATTGTATTTGGGATATACTAATAATATAGAAATAAAGAAAGATATTTTTTTTTCAAATAAATTTAGATTTAAGCTCTTTTGAATAGTCACTTTTTTCATTATTGCTTGTTCGGAACGCAATTTCACCCAAGAAGAACGGGCAAGAAACCCGGCTGTTTTTTTTTTCAAAGTTTAATTAAGTATAAAAATAATGAATTTGTGTGTGAAATCGAAATGAAATTAGATGGAGGTGTTTATCAAAACAACATTTAGATTGAGTCTAATCGTCAGACAGGCTACGTTTGTTTGTTGTTTTTGTACTATAAAAAAAATACGTATGTATGCGACAGTAACATTAACATGTTAATTGTATGTAACCACCTAATAATTTTGCCACTTCTAGTTGGAGTATGTGTGAGAGTGTGAAAAAGTTCCAAAAAACAGTCGGTCCACTGTTAATTGGCAGGTAGCTATTTTTAAACAAACTAATACACGTTATTTTTCATTGTAGCAATTAATATCTATTAAATAATATTTTGACATCTCGATTATAGTATACATATAGCATATATTACGATGAATTACGTTTACGTGTGACATAAAAAAAAACGTGCAGATAATTCCGACAAAACATTTGTATAGGGACAGTCTATAATGTCATTAATTCGTTTGATTAGGTAATTGTTATTGATCACTATTAATGGGTAGCATTTGTAAATGAATTACCGAAAAGGGTATAATTCAGCGTCAATTATAGAATTTTTATTTTATTTGTTTACTTAAGTTGATTACGTGATTCCGAGGTCTACATGAAGGATCATTTTTATTCGGACTTTCGACCTCCATTATACCTATGAAACTACCACAGTTTAAGAAAAAAATAGTAGTTTAGGCGTATTCCAAATATGACGTAACTATTCGGGACGTAATGCTGTCAGATGTGTTCGTTGTTCGACTGTAACATTTAATTACTATTTATAAAAATATTAAAAATAATCTTTTCATCGACAGCTAGGTAGTAATTTAGCAACTACTAATTAAAAAGGAAATTAGACGTCAGACTGTGCTATGTGAACTCGTCCCCTTTACTTGTCTTTTATAAAATAAGTGAAGAGAAAAAAAACCGTTTTTCCTAGTATTTGTAATTCAATAGACTTAATAATAAAAAGGTCTTGTTATTAAAAACCTTGCAGGACCTTTATATAAAACTAACGTCTAATTGAAAATATAGTTAAAAAACAAATAATTTTAGTAAAAATCTGTAGAGTGAAAAATATTCTGCTGTTAGATGGAGCTTCTAGGAAGGTCAGATTAAAAGTCGGCAGATTGTAAAACCCTTGGAATTATAGGTTTACAGAGATTGCTGTTACGGTAGCTTAGCATCATTTAGAGCGTGTGCTTGTTAATCATTGTTATGTTAGAATACTCATATTTGATAGAGTTTATTTGATTTTTAAATCAGCCGTTAATTATCCACTTCTGAACATTGGTCTTCTTCATAAGGAGTGTTTTTCCAGTGGTCGCCACGCTTGGCAGGCGGCATTTAAATCCAGGATAATCCAGATCATCACTAAGATTTAAATCCTGGATGTTTTAAAAAGGACGCTTCGGCCCATTCCTCGACAATCAAGTCCCCTTAGTCACCTTTTACGATACTCACGGGGAAACAAAGGGGAGGTCCATTTTATGCCGGGACGACATGGCAATTTACTTGCTTATTCATATGTAAATAGTTAAAATTAAAATACAATATAGTATCAGGTTGTATAATAGGTACTAGCTTTAACCTGCGACTTCGTTCTGTGTTAGGTATATGTTCATTGATTGAGATAAAAGGTTGCCCATGTCCTTCTCCACCTCATTTGGTACGTGTACATCAAATTTCATAGTGATTAGTTAAGCGGTTAAGGCACTAATATATAAGAATACTCAAAGTAAGGATATCGGAGCTATTACTATTCGTAGTTTTAGAAAGTTTAGACTGACTTAATAGCTTGTAGAATCGACAACCGAGGCGAACGAATAGTTATCGAATATCGAGTCTGTGTAGGCAATCCAGTTACTACAGAGGGAAAGGGATTGTTAGCAATGGCGTTTAACAGCCCTATTGCTAGCAATATGATCTATTAGGTTGACTTTCACGTGGTTCCCCTGGAAACCATCGTGAACAATTCTTGTTGAATTCGTCACGATGGGCTAACTGACTTGTTTCATTCTCACCTATCATCCTCCACTTGTGCCCCGCCGGTGTAATTTAAAGAATTAAAGGTACCTACTTATTGAGAATAAGATAAACTAAAAACAAGTTTAAGTAATCAGTCGGTTGTTTCATTACATTTAATTAATAGTAGATGTATTATTATCTAGGTCAGTACCTATCTGCATACTACAGTAGAAATTATGTGTTTACTAACACGACTCCATATTATTTATCAATAACTACACAAATCAAATGATAATGAAGGTCAAGGAAAGGTCAGTATTAGTTCATTCTGGAAGCATTAATGTGTATATTTAAACATTGTACAGTGTAATAAGTAAATACTTTGTTGAGGCTTAGTACCTATAGACATAAGTACTAAGTAAACTGTGTTAAGTACATAAATTCCAAGAACTTACTCATTAGATTAAAAACTGTAAAATACATATGTGATTATTATAAGGAAAAAAATTCATTTAATCGTTTAAATGTGATCAAGTAATAAATATGTATATTTAATTATTTATTTTTGGGGTTTTTTGTATTTAATTTGGTCGTGGGAGATCAAAATTTAGTCAAAGTAGTTGGAAGTGCAATATAAAGTTTTTCTAACATACGAGTACATGAATAGACTTGACATTGTAGTGACATAAAAGATTGTTAAGTTATTTTTTGATATTTATTAATTACATTAATTATAAGTTTTTTATTGAACTGGCTTTAATTTTCAATTATATTTTGTAAAACTAGCTCGTATCTGTTTGAATTGGACTTTTCATACGTACGAATGGCAATTGTACAAAGTTGGATAGCGATATAACATTACGGTAATAATATTAAATGTTCGTGTTTTTATTGTTCTTAAAAAAAAGTTTTTTTTTGTTAGCTGTTTACATATTTAGATCCAATATTTTCTTTTTTTTAAATAATACTAATTCATAAGGAATTTTCTATAATTGTATATATATATATATATATATATATATGTATATAAGTTATAAATATTGTTACAACAGTTCGCCGTGCGGTCCCGGCATAGAATAGGTCATTCTTTCCTTTCCTCTAGGTGTCGTAGGAGGCGATTAAGAGAACTTAATGCTTGGAGAGCAGCCTCTCTCCTTAAACATCACCAAGGTTGCCAACTCAACTGCTAAGTGTAAGAATTATTGACAAACCCCCCAAATAGAGTGAGGCGCATGATCAGCAGTGGACAGGTAATGGCTAACAGGATGATGATGATTACTACTACAATACTGCATACTGTGCTTTTACCCGCGTGAATGAATACAAAATATGGACCATATTTTGTATTGAAACATTGAAAAAAGTTAATTTGAATAACTACCAAATTGTATAAAATAAATTTAAGCGTTTGAACAAAATTTCCAAAATTTTCAAATTTTCAAACATATTTGTCAACTTTCATACGAGTAATAGAATTGTATGTAGATTTAAAAAATGCACACACAGAACTACAAAAGCAGCAACAGTGAATGGTCACGTGGCCTGAATACTGAAAACCTGGAAATTAGGTATTGAAACTGGGGCCAGCAATCACAACTTGTAGTTGAGGCGACAGGTATTTGTTTATAGGGTTGGACCAAACAACTAGCTATAAAACATTTTTTAATTCATTAAAAATATTAAATTATTTATATATTTTACCGAAGAGTTTTGAATTATTTAATAACAAACGATACACATTTTTAAATATAATAAATTGTACTATTAGAAAATCAGTTCTTGTATACTTGTAGTACAAATTTAAATGATGTAAACTTATCACATCATTAGGTTTAAAATAGCATAGGTTATACAGGTCAAGTTAATAAGATTAACTTTGTTACTAGCACAGTCATAAAACAATTAGGTCTTATTTATCGAGTAAAATATTTTTTACTTTAATTTGTGCAATAATTTCTGAAATTATTAAAAAAGAAATCTGACATCCTTACTGGTTAAAGTCAGTGTTGCTTTGACGTAGAATTATTCAGTCGCCAGCGAACTGGGACGTCGAGACGTCAAAGTAGGTAGCTAGGTGACCGCTGTAGATCTGGATGCATGGTAGTGTTACCGTCAAATTGATGTGTTTATTTTTGTCGGTAAAATTATGCATGTGATTGTGTGAATATGGATAGATAGATGAAAATTCAAGTTTAAAAGGTTTAAAATTTTTCAGTATTTCTTTTTTATTAATTTCACTACCTAATTGTTATAAAAAATAAATTTACAGGTCCTACTACATAATTATAACTAGCATATATAAATAAAACTAATTGAAAAAAAAAATTGTGAAAACAAAATATCCATATTATCCTTGCACAATTCATATTTATTTTTCGGTTTTAATTCAAAATCTGTCCAATTTTACAAATCGATTCCGTACTATTATCGTATATCGTACTTATAGCATCTAATATACCATATAGTTTTAAAAATGTATCGATTCCCCTCACAATTTAGTTTATGTCTTTGATAATAATAAAAATTAAAAACATTACTAGTAATGTCTACTTGAGATAATTATTTATTGTGTTGAAAAATGTTTTTTGCATTTTACAGTTTATTATTGTACAATAGAATACTCGTAAAGAATAGCTGGAAATTAGTTTAATTAAATTTTATCACGTGAGTAGAGAATTTTCTATAATGTATCAAATTTCCGTCCATAATCACTAAAGAAGATTAAGAATCCATAAGTGAATTCTTATATTAGAGGATTAAGTATTTATAATGATGTATTGTTAGACTTGGCTATATATTTACAAGTAAAGTTTTCAATAGGATGAAATGTACACTCAAACAGAATCGATTGTACTTCACAATTTATGAGAATTCGATATCAATAGATAGCAATCTTGTTCTACGTTTATACATTTTAGTAGTGAATGAAAGGGACAAATTACGTTCTAATCAGCTTACAAATAATTAAATCATCTAATTTACTATGACCTATTGTCCATCATCTCAGCCGTTAATTATCTACTGTTGGACATAGAAATCTCTATTCTTATACTCAAATTGGTAACAAATTAAACTATTTTCGTATTAACAAGAGAGAGAACTTTTGAATAGGTATTAAAAAAATAGATATTTCACACTCGATACTCTATTATGTATTATGTATGCGTACAACATAAAGAGTCATAGATCATATACGTTTAGATGGAGTATCAAGTATAAAGCTAAAGATAATAATGTTCTTTAAATTTTAAGAGAAAAATATGGGGACCTACCTGTAAGCTCATTACACAACATAGCAATAGCTGGAGCATTTGTGTCTCTACCGTCAAATACTTTGATGATATCAGCACGACGTAGACAACTGAAAAAGAAATATTAATACTTTAGCAAATCAGTTAGATGATGATTAATTTTATTTATACACTGTTTTGTTTTCACGAATAATATATACATTCTAAATTAAACTTACACCTTAGAGGGAAAAGTAAATTTATTTGAAATCATTTTTAAGAGCATTCATAACTTTTCTTTGTTGAAGTATAGCAACGTTCCAATTATCTGTCAATTTTCAAAAACAATTTAACATTTTTAAGTATTTCTGACTGATTACTTAAAAAGTTTACCGTGTAATCCCGGTATAGAATAAGCTACCACTTCCTTTTCCGTGAGTATCATAAGAAGCAAGTGAAGGGAACTTAGTGGTCGAGGGATGGGAAACAGCGTCCCTCTTAAAATATTACTAAAAGCCTAACTACGCTCGCTAACCCGCCTGCCAAACATGGCAATTACTGGCAAAACCCTCCGTAAAGGTGAAACCTGATTTCAAAAGTGGACAGTTAATGACTGTTATGATATGATGATTTAAAAAGTGAAGAACACTTTAATGAACTATAATATTAATCATGCAGTAATATTATTATTAAGCTTTCACTGAAAAGTTAGATTTTCATATGAGTAGCATAATGCTCAATTACTTTTGAAAATGGCCAGATGGGTACAACGACTACAGCATGTGGTTCTTCAAAAAAGGCATAAAGAGGTTTCTTCAGGGTTGGTAACGCGCGCGTAATGCCTCTGGTATTGCAGGCGTTCATAGACTACGGAGATGTGGTGAGTGCGAAAGCGAACCCATGTCTCGGACATATGGCACCTCGAGGGTATTTCGTCTGGTTTTTGGTGGGTACACTCCCACCTTACAGGGGGATTCCCACAGTACCCATTCGCCTCCCACAAGGTGTATGGGTATAAAACATAAAGCATTTTCCAACGTTAAAAAAAAAAGGTGGACCGTATGCTTGTTTGTTGCTTCAGTGTAAAAAAAAATAGTTGACTTCGTTATGAGCGCTTTTAATGCTTGTGAATGCATTTTGTGTAAAAATATCAAAATTATTGATTTGAAAATTAATTAATTATCACAAGCAATATTTTAAACCTGTTGATAATTTAAGTAAATTCATATCCATGTTTAGTATGAAAGAGGGTTTTCTAACAATAATTAACTTTTGTAACATTACGACAATTATTTTTCTAGTGATACGCTTTTTTCATATACATTGTGAATTGCACCATCTATCTCTACTTATATCTATGGTTTTATACTAAGGAATATTCGAAGTACATTTAAAAACATGTCACTCAAGGATGGCGTAATGATCTTAATAGAAGGGGAAGCCTAATTATTACTGGCACGTCTATCTACTTATCGTTCCAACATTAAATTGAAGTCACTTAACACATACGCGATAGACAGCGGAACAAAGACACAGACCTACTAATTAATTTCAGTACGTGATAATAATATAAACCCATAGTTATGTTACATTAATTTAGTTACTGAATTCCAGTAACTTCTGTATAAATTCTCATGCCAGGTAAACTAAATATCTGTTTTAATGGCAATTAATGAAAATGTAACCAAGTTTTGTTCAAATTATTATAAAAATAATCTCTAAATGTAATTAGTAACAAATTGAAATGTTCAATCAATTAATTGATTTGTTATTCGTAACTAATATTGGATATCAACAGATTGTCTTATACTTTGGTCGTTTCCTCGTTTGTTTACATTTTTATTAGGTTTTATTGAAGTAGACTATATAACATAATGAAAAAGGAAACTAAGTTTGATTCAAATGATCATAGAAATACTCTCTAAATATAATTACTAATACATCAAAACATTTAATCAATTATTTCGTTTTTTATTCTTATTGGATATCAGCAGGCTGTTTTATAGTTGGGTCAGTATTCGTTTGATTATATTTTTATTAGGTTCTATTGAAGTCGATTATATAACAAAATTATAATGAAACTAAGTTTTGTTCAAATTATCATAGAAACATTTTCTAAATTTAATTAGTAACAAAACTAAAAATGTAGTTAGTAAATTGGTTATTATATTCATACTATTGTTAGATATTAGCATACCGTTTACGGTTAGATTTAATCTTAAAATAGGTATTAATTTAATAGTGAAATAGATAGGTTATATCCAAATATGATAAATTTTGTGTCTATAGTATCTCTATACATGGTTCTGGTCATAGTTTGGTTTTTCTATAAACTATTACTTAGTACTACTAGTTGCTATAGGTTATAGACATATGCTACACAGAGCATCATATTCACATTGCCAAAAGAAAAGAATCTTTGCGATTTCAAAACAATATTTTATATTTTACGCTACACCTTTAATAGCAATTTTGAATTCATTCATTTCATTCACAAAATATATTTATAAGTGTCAATTCTACAAAGTCTGTTTATTCTATACGGCTGTATACAATATAAACATAATACATATACATCAGTAACATATCAGCGGTTAACTGTCTGTTGCTGAAAATAAGTCTCCGCCTATTAAGGGGTGGGGGGGTGTTGCCAGTAGTTGCCACGATTGGCACGCAGACTGGTAATCGCAGTTAGGCTTTGGAGATGTGTAAACATTTTTTATGGATGCTATTGCCCATTCCTAAACTACTATGATATATTATTTCACCTATATAATCACCTTTTACGACACCTACAGGAAAAGAAGCGATTATTTATTATAAAACTGAGTATAAAAAGAATTTCAGTATAAAATTTACCGGGACACTACTTGTAATAAAGTATGCACTCTTTTATATCCGCGTGTATTATATCATTATTATTTTATGCGAAAAGGTAGAACATGATACAGCTTTGAAGTTATAGCTCTCAACATAAATGGATCATGTTCCATAAACTCCTAATACAGCCGTGCCCTAGTTAGAAGTTAAGCCTTCATCGTGTCACTTGGTGTTGTTTTGTGCTTTCTAGCGTGAGTAACGTGATAATTTATGCCATATATTGATCATAGGCGAAAGCTATAAAACGGCAGGAAAACATTGTTCCCTTGTTCATAAAAATATCAAACGAACAAATAAATCTATTTTAGCTATTGATGTGTTTTCAATAGACTTCAAAAGAAGGAGTTCACAATTTGGTTGTATTTTTTTTTTATGTTTTTACCTCATAACTACGTCAGTTCTAGACTGAAATAAAAAATTCTTTGATGATCTAAATTTACAGATTGGTTTCATAGAAATTTTATGAAAACTGTTTTTCATTAGTATAGTTTTTAGATGAACATAACTGGTTTTGTTAGAATTAAAATCGGTTTTTTATGGGACACAATCTTTAATTATATCTTTTTCTTTTCCAATTCTTACGAAATAATTATATCTTCAATCTATTGAATCATAAAAATGTATCGGATGGAAGGAACTGACAGCTGTCATACAGTGTTTTGGCATTAGTGCGGTTGTCACTGTCACTCATTATATATGTACAAATAAATAATCAACTTGTACTGAATATATTAAAATTGACATTTAAAATAGTAGCCAAAATAATAAGTTTTAGAAAATTTGGTCTGTTTGTCTGTATGTTTTGGCATCACACAAAAACTATTGCTATTGTAGTTTTCCTAGTTGTGTTCCTGAAGATCTAACTTAACAAGTCGGTATATGTTTTATCTTGATTGTTAATACGTTATAAGTTACCTGTTTTATTGGTTTTGTTACTTCTGGAATCTACACGTACAAAGTAGTGGGCAGGAAGCTAGTGTAAAATATTTATAGATAAAAAAAAATATCAGATTATTCGTAACAAATTACTAGTGACGTAAGTCCAGTTTTAATTAATTCTAAGAAATACGCCTAATCATTATCTTTTTAATAATAATTGGTATGATAGTAGGTATTACATGAAATATATACAGACGGTTGTATTATATGGAAAATTATTGTATGTAGATAGCATATTTCTAATACCTAATGTAGTAAATTCATTTTCAGTACCTAATTATTACTTAAATCATAAAGTAGGGCTTTTAAGCGCTTTTAATTAAATTTAGTCCTTATTGTCGGGAAATATTCTAATTACTTAATTATAATATAATATACTAATTGTGCTCACGACTTCGTCCGTATAATTGAGATAATATTGTCCTTCTGTATAAAATAGGTACTGTGCGTAATGTTAAATTTAATTATAAATAAACCTACACTAATATTTACAATATTAGTAAGGTTTAGATATTAAAATGTACGCTTTTTTTAACATAACCTATAATTTACCAAATCAGATGAATTATTAGAGGTTCAAATGGCCAAGTGATCTATTAAGGAACTGTAACAATAACTATTAAAAATTTGAATATTGATTCTATATCTTTTTTATAAACTATTGAAGATAGGAAATTTTTTTAGTCACATTTAGTTAAGTATTTACCTTATCGGTATATACTAGCGAGGTACCAGTGAGGGACGGCAGGTGAAAGCAAGTCCTAACTTGCTTTACTTGGTCTAGATGGATTCCAGAGTAAATCGCGTGGAGGTCGTCCCGACAGGGTATATTGTTGGCAATGGGTTTATTAGTCTCTATTACCAATAATTCCTTCTCCCAGGAGGAATCACTTATGTTTGTACGTACGAGTATTCATTGAACCCGTGCCTAGTTTATTGTCATTATGAAAACCTGATAATGCCTCACTAGGGAGAGGGGGTTGTTAGTAATGCGGACTACCAGTCCCATTTCTAGCAATATATTCTGACAGGTCGACTTGCACGTGGTCCCTCCAGAAAACCATCGTGCTTAATTCCAGGTTTTTCACCTATCATCCCTCAGTGGTGGCCCGTCAGCGTATACTGATAGCGCAGGCATACCATTCCATTATCATCCATTAAAAAAGTCCCACTTTTGGGAATAAACTATTTCTTATAAAGGAAGTTTATTAGTCTATCGCCACACTGGTGGTGTACTGTGTGATTTGGTCCACCTTTTTATAATATATTGAGTTATTTAGCATTTGAATATTAGACTTTACATTTCTTGTTGTGCCGTGTACTCTCAGCATAGTATGAACCATTCCTTGTTTTCCCGAGGGCGTTGTAAGAGATGACTATAGGAATTTAATGATCTAGAGATAGGCAACAGTGTTCCTATGAAAATATCACCAAAGACAAACTGCGATTAGACTACCTAGTTCAGTAAAATACTAACTGCGGTTTTTTTCTTAATGGATGATAATGGAATGGTAACTCCGCCTGCGCTATCGGAATACACTGGCGGGGCACCAGGTCCACTGGGGGGACAGTTAGGGATGGCAGGTGAGGATGAATACTAACTGCGGTTGCTAGCCCGCTTGCCAAGCGTGGCAATTACTGGCAAAATCTACCTTATTGGGGAGGTTTATATTCAATGGACAGTTAACGGCTGATATGATATGATGATACTTCTTGTTATCTTCTACGATTTCCTGGGAATGATAAGTCGTGGAAGCATCACTGAATGGAGTAAAAATATCACAGTCACATACCAGTTTAGTCTACACTTAAATAAATACTTAGTAGCCATTATATTATTTAATAGTTAAACGATCGACCCAAGTAATTAGTAACAGAACTAACACAAACGTTTATTCCTTTGGCTACTGATGCAATGTAAATTCTCTCCCGAATGGCGGTGCCGCATTCATGCATTATCCAGTTAATTAAGCCGGCAGATATAGTTTATAGTGTGGACTCATTAACGGGAACACTAGTGCCCGTTACGTTCATAATTTAATTATGCTAACCGTCTCGCTTTCGTTGCGGATTGATAGTGGCTATTTCGATTCAAATAGTAATTTCAAAGGAATTTTCTATTTGTATATTGTATGTGTGCATTAGATAGACGAATATAATTGTTAATTTTAGTAATAAGGCCACCTTTTGTATATGCACATTCTGTATAAATACTTTTTATACATGTCTATTGTGCGCAATAAAGAATTTATATATTTTTTTTTATAATTTGAACTGTGATTTGACTTTACAGATAGATAGATAAATAATTTATTTGCATCACTCACAGCACACAAACAGCAAAAGACACAAATGCAATGTGAAAAAATATAAAAAAAGATACATATACAAAAATTTGGAAAGACTTTAAAAAAATAATAAAGAGATTACACCAGTTGATTAGGGTTGTAAATTGTTATTTTATTAAGGCACACAAAACAAATTGTAACTACATATATAACAACGACGATATATACGTAAATAGTTGTGGATTTTAGGTTAGTGTCAAGCTAGTTATAAGACACTTTATTGTGGAAAAAATGTTATTCCCATAGCGAATTTATACATGTAAATTCGCCACGTGAATGACGTCACGAACTCAACATAACCTAAGTAACATTCAAATGTTTTTCATAGAAACTTTTTAGCATTATATTACAAAAGTAGACAATATATAATAGTATAGATAAAAGTTCTGTTCCAAATTGTATTCGAAATATCGTTTATAATACTTACAGTTTTTAAAGTCAATTCTCTAAACTTCGACATAAATATTTATATTGGAACATCAATTCAAAATTCTGCTGGTGTCCAAGTCTTTTTGAGCTTACTTAGAATAAAAAAATAATATGCAAAGTACGCTGAGGTGTAAATTTACAGAGTAGGTACAATGGGTACTATAATATGGAGTATTTCAGATTGTTTTTTTTTTTAGGATTGGTAACGTATATGTGATATCATTGTGGTGTCACAGGTACCTGTAAGGCTACAGTTAACGGTCACTAGCCTCATGGACGCCTGTCAATGGGCTAAATTTTTATTTGCCATCGATCTTTATAGCTTTTTTGTACTAACTACAGATAGAAAAAATAAATTACTAGATTCAAAGTATGAGAATATTGTATTGTAATAATTAAGAAAGATTGTTTATTCACGAACATACGTATCAAGTATTAACTTCCTCTTTGGCTCTTTACATAACCGACAAAATTGCCTCTATCCATAATATCCGGACATTGTACATTTTGTTGGACCGAAGATTTTACGACACAATTTTATGGGAACATCCGATGCTGCACTTGTCGTGTAATATTCAATATTTCAGATCAAGGATTCTATTATAACGAGGTATGTACGACATTTTTATTACCCCTGTCCGATGCGGATATTGACGGTGATTTTATGGGATGTACCTAATAAATCGAACATAAGCACTTAATGTAGAAAATTTTTATCGAATATAATGTTTTATTAGTCGTATCGAATAGTTATTATCGAATACGTTTAGTACTCAAAGTTATAATAGTCGTAAAGACGTCATTTGTCAAATACTACTAAGCACTAGTATGAATGTAATAAATGAGAAAGTAAGTTTGTTTGTTGTTTTTTGGCTTTATATCTGTTTTACTAGCGTAGTATTTGACATAGTTTACATGGACAAACATAAATTCAACTTTTTTTGTAGTCAGTTAAAAAAAGTAAATAAAATTTATGTAATAAAATCTGTCTTATGTGTTTTTAGAGCCGTATATTTGCCTTAAACAAATAAATATTAATTTTTACATAAAAACCACATAGTTATTTAACATTGCTGTAGTAATCATTAAGATAATACATTTTTAAACTAAGCGGTTAGTTGAATCGTAACTCGTATTGTACTCACCTAATATCTCCTTTTTGAAGAGATACTTCTTCAAATACCACTTTCACTCGTTCTTTCGCTCTGAAAAAGAATATGTATATTATAAAACGGTATTTAAACTTCGGCCTTTTAATGCGTACCTAATATAATTGCTTACTGCTTGCTAATTGCTTATTTGAAAGCCTATGATTATGATTAGTGATTTAAGCCGGCTTCGAACAGGTAGAGACAATTTTTGAAATTATAAAACCCATGTTTCTAGCTGATTTTTTAACTTTCTATAGGTAAAAGGGTTTTTTAAAATCAGGTGAGCAGTCTTTGAGTTCATCCATAGACAAATATTCTACTTTCTTACTATCCTAATCGAGTGTTATTTTTAAATTAATTTACATGTTTATATTTATTTATTTATTTATTTAACACTTTATTGCACCAACATAACATGATTTGTTAAAACAATTTTCAATACGTATAGTGTAGTACAAAAGGCGGTCTTATTGCTAAGCAATCTCTTCCAGACAACCTTTGGGTAGAAAGGATTAAAGCATAAGTAGGTAGGTGGCGCGTTAAAAAAGATAGATTTGTAAAAAATAATATTTGTGACAGCATAGTCATATACATATACATACATAAATAAACACATACAACCAAATATATATATATATACATACACATACACATATAAATATATATACATACATATACATATATACGCACAAATACATACAAATATACCATATTAATACACATATATATAACACACATATATATAACACACATAAAACTGGAAATACGTAGGACTAAGTGATTATAAGGATAGGTAGTGGGCTTTAACTAAGTTTTTAAAAATGGGCAACGATTGAGCGCACCGTATAGAGGTAGGGAGCGAGTTCCACAAACGAACTGCTTGCACGGAAAAGGATTTGGAGTAGAAAGAGGAAGAATGGGTAGGAATTATGAGTTGGAGGTTGTCAGTACTACGTAAAGAATAAGAATTAGAATTGCTCTCTCCAAGAAACATAAAACGTTCTTTTAAATAATGAGGTGTAACTGGATTAAAGTGAATTGAGTAAAGAAGGGAAAGGATGTGCCAGTTACGACGAAGACGGATAGAGAGCCACTTGAGCCGTGTACGATATTGGGATACATGGTCATATTTGCGAAGTCCAAATATGAACCGTATACATAAATTTTGAAGACGCTCAAGTTTATTTAACTGCTCTTCAGTGACATTTGAATAAAAGGAATCGGCGTAGTCAAGGATGGGGAGGAGCAATGTATGAGCAAGCGCAATTTTGGTATCCATAGGAAGAACCTTACGCAACCTGTAAAGGGATCCAGTTGCCGCAAACATCCTCCTGCTAATCTCAGCAATCTGAGGTGACCAGGATAAAGTACTATCAAAACAAATGCCGAGATTTTTAACGCAGTCGCGGTTATACTAAATTCTGTCAGTGTTTTATCAATGAAACAAAAATTCAGCCTTCCGTACTAATACGTCCAGCTGTCAAGTTAGCATGACAATGCCAAATTTGCTTCCCTGAAGAATTTTACGGTTATTTGAAATTGTTTTCTCTATTTTTTTTTGGAGTCAACGAACCGAAATACGCTTTATGTTATGCTTGGTGTGCCTTGTGACAAATAAAATCAGAGACGTGACAAATCGTATATAATTCACAATTTAGGGAAACTCAGTATGCCAGGTATGGAATAGAAATCTGATAAGGGAGTAGACATCCGGTTGAATTGAATTGTCAACCGGAATTCTGCCGGATCATGTGAACTAGTTTTCAGCTGTCTATAGAATATTGAATTTTGTTCGTGTGCTAACGTGTTGTCATTTATTTTATTTATTTATTATATTATTTATGATTTTGTTTCGCAAAAATTTTAGTAAATGTGGATAGTGGACTTAGTCTACTATTTGGCCTATTTTATATTTTTTTATTTTTTATTTGTTTGCCTTGACAGAAATGCGCATAAAAAATAGAGAATGACATACAACACTTGTAGTGTGGATAGTAGGAAAATAGTGAACGAGATTAGTACAGAGCTATTACAAGTGGTGTAAGAAAGAAACGGCCTAAGTAAGTAAAACCTAAGTGATGTGGGGTGATTAGATTAATAGATTCACAAAAAAAAAGCAAAACCGAATCTTAATATTTGGAAATTTTTCCAAAAATCAGCCCGACGAACAGGCGTACCTGTTCTAATTATATTTAATTAATTATTATTTAAGTAGATTTACTGAATACAAGATATTAAAACATTCTATTTTATTCTGATAGGTATATGAAACAATTTCATAGAGATAAAATATTTTCATTATAGAATACCTTTGTTAATATAGTTTAGGAGATGCCTAATTTAAAATTAGAAGGTGCCTCGGGGACTTCAAAGCTTGCTTCGATGTGTTAATTAGGGCAAATTCCGTGACATTAGTGTACCTGATTTACCTGTGCGAACCCAGGTCGGGTCAGTTAATACTTAATAAAATAAATAAATTATATTCTATATTCCTCCTAGCCGAAGGTTGTTTAGAAGGGATTGTTTAGGAATAAAACTCCTATTTAATTAATAAATAAAATATGGTCGGAAAAATGTAAAAAAAGTCAAATATTTTGTTCACCATAGTGATCGGTAAAATGCCTCTGAAATATTTTAAAGTATTGCGTTTTTTTGAAGAATACCAGAGGGACGGGTCAAGAGTCAAGACACTTTGATGGATGGGACGGATGTATATGAGATGTATACAAGATATCGTTAGACTAATGATTTCGATTCCTGTACAATGAAATTTTTCTTTGATTAAAATATTTAATGAAATTTATTTACCTCGCGTGAAAATGATAGGAACACCGCACATTGTTCGGGTAGATGGACGGGTAACGAGGACTGTACAGGCGGCCGTGTGTCGGCCGGTTGCCGGACCGGCTGAACTGATTGTCGCATTCCGTTCCAGGTACACGCACGCCATCTGTCTCAAACAGACCTGCCAAAAAACAAAACAGTTTCAATAAAAATATTTTGTATTTAATTACTTTTTAACATTGTACGTAACAATAAATGCGTAAATATATGTAACAAATAAATGTGTGACTTGTTTGTATGAATTCCCTTTATTGAATTCTATAATAATATTTAAATTGATAATTATGATGTGTGGTTACCCTTCACGTGTTGTCATTTCCAAGGATTACTGTATTGTGTTTATCGTACTCTGCAATTTCATTGACATAATTTAGATAATTATATATTTTTTGTAATTATGCTTAATGACAATATAAAAATAAACTATTAATAAAACATAAAACAAACGACGAAATTTAAATTATATTAGTAAAAACAGTAATGAAAGGGGTATCATTATGTTAAAAATGTAAATTAATAACATAATTTATAATAATTCATAATTCATCTAGATAAAAAAAATAAGAATATGAATTGATTAAAAAATTATGCTTAACTGTAAAATTGTATCTACTTTACATAATCCAAATTAAAATACAGAGTAATTTTTCTATTATAATGAGATTTTACCATAACAAAAAGTATCCTCTATGATCTTAGTACCAAGATATACTTAGATCAAATTTTATTAAAATCTGTTTAGTAGTTTAATTAGTATAATTAGGATTTTATTATATGTATAGACAAAGTATATAGAAGCTAAATAAGTATTAGATTGGAAGTTAAAAATGAGTCGCAGAATATTAGGAACATATACATCTTATCGATGGTACACAGATAACAAAATAACCTAAATGTTTATCAACTAAAGACCCTAATAAATGCTGATCTTTCACTTATAAACTAGAAATAGCTTTCTCATTTTGTATCCAAATATGGTATCCATTGAATTTATTAATCTTACTGTTCTTACACACGATATTTCACCATAAAAATATTCCTGAGTTACCAAAATTATGTCTAAGCTTAGGAATTACAATACACTTTTATTATAGTTAATTCTTGGTAATTAATTCATATGTTCCTTTTGCTACCCTATCTTTTATTTTAATTGTAATACGTTGGAAATAAAGGAATGAAATTGAGTTTAATGACTGTCCATAAAATTAAATGGTTGGGATAATTCAACTAACATTTCCTGCCAGTTTACACATATAACTTGTGAAATTGTTATATTGTTTTTGAGTATGTTATGCAATAACTTAACGAATTCTGTACTGAATGATGATTCTTTTTTATCTGAGTGATTCGGAAGGTAACATATTTTTTATGTGAATTATTGATGGTGTAAGAGTAAACACGTCACTGTGCGTAAATTAAATCCCGCACGGGTTCGATTCTCGGTCGAATTAGTTAAGTAAATAAACTCATCAAAATTATCCCGGCTTCGAATCTTTTGGATTGGATTTTTGTTGTCTGGTATCTGAACTTGATGACCAGGAATTATGAAAAAATAAGACCTAAATCCCTTATAGATTTTTCATTTCCTATTTAAGAACTGCGCTCTTGCTAGTGGAGCTCTTGCCACTCACTACGATTTTTAGCGAGTCTCTTCACCTCTTAATACGGCACCAACTATTTCCTTGATCTGCCTGATGTAACTATTATAATGTTTATAAGTTCATCGTGTGGTATCATGTGTTTTAAAATTTCTCCTTTGTATAATTTGTCTTTTCTCCTTAACCTAGCTATTCGTTTAGTAAATCTGATGGATCTACTTGAAATGAAAGTGCCTATTGTTATTATTACCTATAACTTAGCCAAGCCTATTATTTTTATTATTTTCGGTGGAACTGATTAATGAGAGATAGATTAGATAGGAGCCATATTCTTATGCTGGAATATTAGGCTGATGATATTTCATGCGTGAATCCTACAAAAAAACCGACAATCCGACAACCGATGTGGCAAAATCACTTATTTTGATATTAAAACTAAATTACTGAATCGATTTTGATAAAATTTCTATCGGATATACATACATCAACCAAACTCAATCAATCAATTTTATGTATATTTTTTAGATAAAAAAATAATTTTCTAAATCGGTTTATAACTAACGGAGTTATAGGTAATAAAAATAAAAAAAACGCAACTGAATTATGAACCTCCTTTTTTTAATCAGTTGGAAATCTAAGCTTCGTCCTTTGTAATCATAATTATTAAATTTTTATTTTTCATATTGTCTAACTCAAGCAGTTTTAATTCAAAGAACTCTGCATCTACAATTAGTGCTATAAAATTTGCGTTCTCCAAATTTCTAACTAAAGAATGTGGTAAATTGAAAACAGAATTCAATTTGAATCTCTAATTTGTCTGCAATAAATCGATTTGTTTTTCACTATGAAGATTTACAAATTAACGTGAAATGTTCTTATTTGAATAATTTGAATTACCACATCCATTAGTAGGTATATTGAATTAGAGAATAGATTAATAAATAATATATGAAGTACTGTATGAGAACTATGTACGTATAGATTTGGAATGTTTTGGATGTTATTTCCTTAGTTATATCCTAAAGACGTTTAGTATTTATTACTTTAGGGTGTTCCTTCTTTTTTAATTAACGCAAAAATGCAGGCTCATTTCACCTGTATTTCTTTTTATGTGTATGTTACACAATATCTTTAGTAATTCTGAATTGATGTCAATAATTACGTTTTATAGGACATAATGTATATATGCATAGAATCGTTTGATCTGATTGATTCAAGACAACCTAAATCAAAAGGGTTAAAAACTTGAAATTTTGGCAGTTGATGTATTTTGTTACATAAATATCTACTAAGGAAGGGTTATTGAAATTTATACTCCAATTAAAATTAAGTTTATTTATATTTAAATATTTTATTTTAAAAGAATTATTTAAAAGAATTTTTATTTGTAAAATAAAAGGCTAGACGAATTTGAATGACAAGTGGAATACGTTTTCTTTTAGGCAGTAACTGAAAATCAGTAGGTTGCTTATTAAGAAAACAACCCACTGAGCCTTTTTGCATCACTCTGGTACATATATTACATTTTCACATATGACGTTATGTAAAATTTTATGTATATCGCCCTTTTGTTAAACACATGTTTTCTGTTACTATTGTTAAATTATTGTGTATCTCTTGATGTAAATAAAGAGTTTAACTATCTATTTTTTTAATGGATGATAATGGAATGGTAGCCCCACCTGTGCTTACAGAATATGCTAATGGGGTACCAGTGAGGGATGGTAGATCCTCAGGAGGACACCACGGAGAGGTCAACTTGACGGGTATATTACTAGCAATGGGACTGGTAGTCCGCATGACTAGCAATCCCTTACCCCCTCTATCTATCTTCTGAATATATTCACACAGTATATATACTTTCACATACTATTATACAATTTTTTTGCAAAAAAAGGAAGAGTAAACAAGGGATATATCTACTAGTAGTAAATATAATTTTTGTGAAACAAAATATTAAATTATTGTTATATATATATATATATATATATATATATATATATATAACAATAATATATATAATATATATATATATATATATATATATATATATATATATATAATATATATAAGCATCATTGTGAGCCACGCTTTAATTCTAAAGAGAAGAGTGGATAATCCATCATATATGTATTGTCACGAACGATGTCGTGTCGTAAGCTTAGGTAAAGGCATCATTATACTTTGAGTTATAGGCTTGTGTATTTGAAAATTAATATCTGGTTATTTTGCTAAGTATAATTTATGTAGCCACCGTTTCAGAGATATAATCCTTATTTAATATTATAAATTTTTGTCGTGATTTTGTCCGTGGTTGTTAAGGCGTTAAGAGGTATTAAATAAGTAAACTTGCTTTCACTTATTTATTTATAACATTAGTGAGGATACGAAAGTAAGTTCATATATTTGTTACCCCTAAGTACTTTAATCGCTAAATGTTATAAAATTTGGTATACACGTAGTACTTATTTGCCGCTGTGTGGTCCTGGTATAGAATGTGCCACCGCTTCGTTTCTCGTGGGTGTCATAAGAGGCGACTAAAGGAACTTATTATCGATGAATGGACAGCAGTGTCCCTTTTAAAATATCACCAATGCTTAACTGCGGATGCCAATCCACCTGCCAAGCTTAGCAACTACTGGCAAACCCCTCCTTATGGAGGAGGATATATTCAGAAGTGGACATGATTGTGTAAAGCAGCCTTTCCTAAAATTGACAATAACGCCCCCTTGTAGGCGTTGCAGGTCTAAAGGGGGGCGGTAAGAGACCCAGAAAAAAATGGGAGTGTTGTGTAGAGGTTTGGAGGGTGATTTGTAATTTGAAGTAATATTATATATATATATATATATATATATATATATATATATATATATATATATATATATATATATATATATATATATATATATATATATATATATATATATATATATATATATATATATATATATATATATTATATATAATATTGGTTTTAAGTAGGTGAAAAATGGGGGCGCTAAAGAATAATTTATTCTCAAAGTAGGCAGTAGGCAAAATAAGTTTGGGAACCCCTGATGTAAAGGATTACTAAAGCCTAACTGTGGTTGCCAACCCGTTTGCCAAGCATGGTAACTACTGCCAAACTCACGTTATGGGGGAGATCTATTATTAAAATCGAGAATAATAAATGATATTAAATATTAAAATACGTATATTATGCACAATAAAATGTTATAGCAAATAAGATGCTTAACAATGACATCATCCTAGATAAGACAGTGTGTAGGTCAATTATCTATAACTCCTAACACCAATGTTCATCAGTGGACAGTTAACGGCTGATATGATGATGATGATGTATGATTATATCCATTTGAAGGGTGAAATATAACATTAACATTACAGGTTATAGAGCTGTTAACACCTACTTCTACCAGAGGGAGACTTTGTACAAAAGTCGATTGGTTAGGTACCTCTGTCCCATTCGTGTTTCAACCGTGTAGCAGTTGTGTTTGCATGGCTGTGTTTCGGTTTGAAGGGT